AAAACATTCGAATGCCAATGACATGTCCTATATTCTAAAACTATGCGCAAATTATGGAATAATATTCAAATCTTTCTGCAAGTTTGTATAGCATATTAAAAATAATGTATTATATTTTGTTAAGATAAAATTACATTGGAAATAAATAAGTGTAACAATAATTTTCTTATAATTTCTAATCACCTTTTGCTTTTCCATTTACGTCTCAATGGAGAGAATATATTTTTTCTAGTATTTGTCTCCTAAAATAATTATAATCTAAAATCTTACTGTCAGACGTACTGTATTGAAGATGTCCAGTAACTCATGGAAAAGCCGTGATATACAGCCTACACAGCAGAGATGTCCAAAATATATCACAGGGATATCCTAAAGATATATTTGGGATATGTGATATCTTCAAGATATCCCTATGATGTATTTGGGACATTCCTGCTGTATGGGAGGTAGATTAAGTCAAATTGAACAAACAATTTCTCTACTATTTTGCGAACAATCACATAAAATTTTGAGTTATTAATCGAAGATTTGTGAATGATTACGTAGGATATACTCCATATACATTAGGATATACTCACGATATACTCAGGATTCCTACTTCTGCCCTTTTCTTGTTCTTAGGATATTCTCAGAATATCGTCCATGATATTCTGAGGATATACGTGGAATATTCTCAGAACATTAGAATATCAAATATATAAAATATTCTTAACACACAAGCATGCGCAAACGCGCACTCCCATATAACTTAATGTTTGATTATTTTGTTAAAATAATAAAAAAAAAATTGGTACATTATATTTTGCGGCGTTTCGCTTATACGTGTTTCTACGTGGTTTCGAACTCGAACTGCACCGATCATCCCATTTTCTAGTCTGGGTCCTAGCCTTCGTTGCTGTTGCTCAACCTTGGTGATCAGACAACTAGTAATGATTCAAATGGTTCTGACGATACCTTCATAACTTGTGCTTATATAATATATCTTTATGTGCTTACAAAATATTGTAATGTTATATTTATTAACAGATATTGAAAACGAAAACGGTTAACATGCGATGGATATTAATATAATGTATATTGGCGAAATAGTGACGCGATTATTGCTCTTATATTTTTAACTTAACATATGTATTTGAGACTAAACGATAAGTTAGTTTGAAAAATACATGCAACAATTTATATATGAGGCATTCTTCGTCAAACCGGCCATCCCCTCTGCCCAAAATTTGTATGGATCGATTGAGGCTCAAATTTTAAGTCAACGGGGGCTCAAATTTTAAGTGATCATATATAGTGTCGCTTGCCGTCTGGCCTTTTGAGAAATTCATCATGGCGGCTCTAATATGGCGGCGGAAACTGGAAAAATCGATGAAAAAATCCGTACGTGACTTCCTACACGCCACACGATTACTCAAATCGGGTCCAAAATGATCAACCCAAGGTTCTTAAGGTCGTTGATTACGACCTTAAGACCTTAAATACACCCTTTATACATTTGCGAATCAATTGGCATCTTCTAGAGTATTATCATTAGATTCAACAATAAGCGCTCTAAGGTTAGTAGTTCTCAAAGCGATATTCAAAGCTCATCTAGAATGCCTCTTTAACCTTCACTTACTTTACTTCTTTCAAGGAAATTGGTACTCCTTGAGGAGCATTGGAATACCGTTATTAATAAAATTATTGATAACATTATTGATAAAACGGTTAAATTAACAATAAATTAATAATAAAAGTATAAACATTAAATTAACAATAAAAGTACGAAAAATATAATTTGTATTAAAATTAGATCATTTTATTAAATAATATTATTAAAAAATAATATTACTATGTTATTTACAACACATATATTTTATCTATAACATATAGATAAAATATAAGACGTTTATATCGATCGAAGAAGTGGTGTAGTGTCTAAAGCAACAGATTCATAATCCAGAGATGTCTCTCAGGGTGTTCAAGTTTGAGTTTCACCAGTGCCAGTGAGAATTTTAAATGTGATGTCATTGGAATCACACAAGTAATTTAAAATTTTCAAAGTAAGATAAGCAAACGCTGTGATATTTATGAATAGTTTTTGCTAGAAAAAAAGTAATACATATCATATATAAAAAAATTTATAAGTATACATTTGTTGTTCCTATAAGTAATTAAAAATGAATACTCTTTAAGAAGTTGCAATAACTACTTTCTTATTCGTACGGTAAGCATCAATGTTTCATTCAAATATTAATATATTTTAGCAAAATGAATGTTTTGTACATTACATAATATATTTAATCAAATAGATAATATATTTAATAAAATATATTTAATAAAATATATTTTTGTTTTATTTAAGTAAATATACTGCAACTTTATTTGCATGAATGATACGTTAAAATACTTTGGTGTTTACTTTAAAAACAAATGAATACATTGCAAATAAAAATGTTTTTAAAACAATCACGTCTTTAGTTTCAGGGCAAAAATCAACGGTTGATTCAATTATACATATAAACTAATCATTATACATATAAACTAATCAAATATACAACTAACCTATTTAATTATATATTTAATTTATTAAAATTATATTCAATCATAATAATATAATTTGCGCGATTTATATTTAAATGCAATTGCAATAATTATTATTAATATTTAATTATTTATACTATTATAATTACAATGTAAACCAATTCTCAACTCAGCAGCGTTGTTACAATCTGAGATGTATTTAATACAATATTGTTTACTATTAATTGAAATTTGTACGTAGTTCTTTCAACGTACATATTTAAAATTAAAATCAATAGTGTATGTTATTGAATAAACTAAATATACTTGTGGTAGCCCGTAATGAGACTATTTTATTGAATCAACCCCCCTTTTTTTATTCCAATAACATTTTTTTCTCAGTGTACATTAAATCAAACTGAATAAAATAATCCTCTGCTATTTTTCAAGTAAGCACGTAAATATTTCGTTTTTAATCAAAAAAGATTGTTGCATTATCGCGTATAACTGTACCTACTTGAAATATAAGCATTCCATTGCAAATGTCGCCACCATAGTTTATCTATGGCACGTTTACGAATTTTTTAATAACTTAGAATTTTACGACTTCTCGCAGAATGGTAGATGAATTTTTTGTTTAATTTAACCTAATTTATATGTACACTACGGCTCATTTGAGTTGGTGGACACCCTATTCAGGGTGTCCCATTTTAAAAGATGCAGCCTAATAATTCTTCAGCCAAGCATATTCAGTAAAAATGTTTCAGACAAAAGTTACATGATTCGATGGAGGACATAAGAAGGTACTATTGATCTTGTATGGCGTCGTCAACATCAGGTCATGGTCAACTTTGCTCTTTTAAATAGAAACATATATTTTTTTTATTACGAAATTTGATTCTACGTAAAGAAACAAACAACTTTTGAAAATATTTTTTATACGACATCTATTTTCTAAGATATTTACAGAAATATCTACAAAATTATTGGTTTCAGTAATTCTTTACTCAAATTCTATCAATTTTAAAAAATAGCAAGAGATAAAAATTTTCTATTTTTTCCTCATAGAGCTTTGAAAAATTTTTCAGAATTTTTTAATTAATTTTTTAGTACTGCATTTTCTTGCATTTTCTTGAAGTATTAAAAAGTTAATTAAAAAATTCTGAAAAATTCTCAGAGTTCTACGAGAAAAAATAAACAATTTTTATCTCTTGCTATTTTTTTGATAAAGTTGATAGAATTCGAGTAAAATTATTGAGACCAATAATTTTGTAGATATTGCTATAAATATCTTAGAAAATAGAAGTCGTATAAAAAATGTTTCTGTATTAGCAGTCTAGGTATTATATAGAAGTTTGTGTATAAAATATGTATTCTAATTAGTAGTTTTAAAGTCTCCGCGAGAAATTTCCATAGTCCTGACCATTTCATGCCGACCTTTAATTATGGGCCAACTGTATCTCGTCCGTCCATATACTCTATTTCAATCATTTTATGAATAAAAATTACATTTTTTCTAGAAACAATGTATCATATACTTGCAAAAATTTTCATTCTAGTTAGTAACACATCGCTTAATTTTATTCAGTTATGATAGAGAATGTTAATATAAAATTTCGAGAGGCTTGAAAGAATTTACTTTGCTATCATCTAATCAGTTTTTTTCTAGTTAGTTATTTCTTAACTGTAATATTATTTCAATTATAATAAAATTCAAAGAAAAGTATATTCTAATAGGATTATTTCACGATTTTGTACCCACTATTTCTCTCAAGATAAATACTAAAAAAGCACATGAGCAATATACTTTTAGCATATAGCCATATAGTCCCGATCTTTCTTATACATGTATCAATAACTTTAAAAAGATTAAATTGACGACCAAACAAGTATAAACTGTAGACTTAATGAGTTGGAAATAAAATATGGAATCAAATCTAGAAATTAAGTGATCTGCAAATAGTGAAAATCTAATTTTGGTTGATAGTTGTGGCACGCGGTTATGGCATGGCATAGTTTACGATTATCTCAAATTTTGGGTCAGGAAATCTAGAACAATATTTCTTATATTTTCTATTTATTTTTCAAAAAGATCTATAATAAACGGGCCAAAAGGAGGATGTTAAAAAAGTTTTTTGGTCCCCCCCCCTGCGAAACCTTAGTTAACTACAAAAAATTCGATTTTTTTTTAATAGTGTAATTATTTGTTCTTGGTGCAAACAATTACTTTGCATTACACATTTTTTCCATGAGTACCACCTTTGTAACAAATATGTACCATGAATAAAACACATTTATTTTCTACGTGTATACATACAAGTTTTGTATCGATTTTTCTTTAATATTATATTAATTATATAATTAATATAATATAATAATATATACACACATTATATATTGTAAACATATATATATATATATATATATATATAATAATAATAATATACAATTGTCTATGTGTTATTTTTCTGCAATTTATTATATTCTCCTACCTACAGTAACATGAAGAGACGCGGTAGCATCTTGCGCCAAGTGAAGTGAGGAACGGTGTGAGACTGGCTGCGTATAACTTACGCCGACCAACTAGTTCAGCGCAGGTAAGATTTCTCGTTCGGCTATAACGGCTAATCGGACAAATTTCTGGATAGGCTCTATCGATTCCTTGGGATCAATTTACTTAATAAATCTATCTTTATATTCGTCCTACATCCCAGGTAGAAATTTAAAAGAGAACTTGTAAAGGCTCTAGATAGTTTTTCCCCATTTCTGTCTAGGCGCCATTCAGGCAAACCCGAATAGACCCTGTACAGAGATGTAACGCTTTTGTAAGTCAAGGCCCGATTTATAAATCTGACGAGGCCCTATTCTGGCACGTCTATATAGGCCCTATCTAGACACGCCTAAGTAGAAAAAATATTCTTTTATGTATGAATATATATATATATATATATATATATATATATATATATATATATATGTACTACTTTTTTTTAAATAGAAACTATTCATAAAAGTCACAGCGCTTGCTGATTTTATTTGAAAACTTTAGATTACTTAATTCCAATGCTACATTACATTTAAAAATTCTCACTGACACTGGTGGAACTCGAACCTGGACCCTGCCTGAGGCACCTCTGGATTATGAATCTGTTGCCTTAAACACTACGCCACTTTTTCAATTCATAAACGTCTTACATTTTGTCTATATGTGTTGTGATTAACACAGTAACATAATTTTTTGATAATATGATCTAATAAAATGATATAGTGATATAATGACTTGATAAAATGATATAATTTTAATAAAAATTATATTTTTCGTACTTTTATTATTAATTTAACCCTTAGCTAATGAGGTCTACAAAATCCTGCACTTCCATTTCGTTATTTTTAAATTTTTATAGTAAAATTTTTTTTATTGTTAATTGTTATTAAATAAATAAAGTCATGAAAGACTATAAACTTTGTGTAATTATAAAGGAGTAAAAAAAGAAGAAAGTATCTACCTTACCATATAAGATTTCATTAAATTAATTAAATTTATGTATAAATATATAAATCAACGCTTATTATAAGCGATTTTTTAAATATTTTAGTGGAAAAGATTTTGATAAAACGTTTCACAAATATTTATAAGTTATTTCAATGTTATATTTCAATACAATTTCCAAGTTATCTTTCGGAAAGCTTGCTGTGTGAGATCCTATGTGAATATGCCTTATTTGGAAGATCGTATTTTTGAGAACTAAAATCATAGGTATTTTGGTTTTACTTCAAACTTATGTGAATTTTACTTCAGTATAAAACTGTAAATTAAATTTTGTAAGACTTTAAACTACTTCAGTATAAAACTGTAAACTAAATTCTGTAAAACTTTAAAGTACTTCAGTATAAAATTGTAAACTAAATTCTGTAAGACTTTAAAGTACTTCAGTATAAAACTGTAAACTAAATTCTGTAAGACTTTAAACTATTTCAAGAATTGAATAAACTAGACCCTGACTAGATTATATAAGTACATGTCTTGTTACAGATATCCACATCTATTTGTGCCTATTTTGGGCCTATTTACGAGTTTTCCTTTAGAAATCCCCTTGCTTGGCCTTATGTAGGCCTAACGATGGCAGGCCTTATTAGGGGCATCCCCAACAGCACTTATTCAGAGTCTGTTTAAGAAATTCTACTCAGAATTTGCTTTGTAGGCTCTTTCTAAGCACAATAGTGGTAAGCCTTGTTAGGGGAATCCTAATAGTGCCTTTTCAGGACTTGTTTAGGAAATTCTACTCAGAATTTGCTTTGTAGACCCTTTCTAGGCACAACAGTGGTAAGCCTATTTTAGGGCATATCTATCTAGACCCTTTACGAACTTGGAGCATGCCCCGATAAAATCCTACCCGGGATGCTTTATGAGAAGAGATATTTTACTCGAAAATCCGAAATCGTGAGATTTCACGATATTAAGAAATGTTCCAGAAAATTTCCATCTCAGCCTTTCTCCGTTAGAGGCGTCACTCAGCGGCGCAGTCAGCGAGACATGGACCACATAGTTAGGTCGTGTATACATGTTAGTATCAAGAGACACAGTAGTATCTCGCGCAAAAGCAAGAGTCGCGCAAGTGAGAGGAAGAATGTCATCCTCTCCTTCTCGCTCTCACTCGCTGACGCGACCGTCTTTCAAAATAGCAAGTAAAAGAGAGAAGAAGAGGATAATATTCTTATTACTCGGCGTTTCGAAGCAACTGAGCGCTCGCATCGTACATATAAGCCAAATATCTATAGAAGAAATATAATGGTATCTCCTGTTATATTGATACGCATGTAAAATTACCATTATTTATGAAACTTATGTCAAATTTGTATGTGTTTAATAGATATTTAATCATTTATGAAAAAGATGTAATATCCGAACAAACCTAACTTAAAAAAAAGGTAAAAAAAGACGCCAAGTTCACGCGTTTGCCTGCACGAATGGAATTATGCAAAAATTTATATTTCTATAAAAAATATTTTATTCGTTAAATAACATTTAAAAATATTAATAAAAAAAATATTATTTAAACTTTTTTTTTTTACAAAAAACAATATCAGGTAGTTAGGCCAAGTGAAAATAATTCACGTGTTTCCTTACATGAATAGAATTATATAAAAGCAAATATGTTCATATATGAAATATTTCACATACATATTTTCAGAGAACATAAATTTAAAGACGCGTTAAAACATAATATTATTTAAATTTCTATTTTCTACAAAAGGGATGTTAAAAGATAATTAGATGAAACGAAAATACTATTGCGTATATCACAGCTTTGTGTATATTCACACCACATGTGGTAACTATTGACTTCTTTTTATTGGTAACCATGTAAAAATAAAAGTTAAGAGTCATACAAAAAACACTTGGCGTGCCCGTGTCGTAATAAGGCGCATTGAATTTTACAAATTGATATACAAAATACTATTTGATATACAAAATATATTTTAATTATACTGGGCAACACACATTTTGGTGCCGCCACTTTGATAGCTGATTCTAAAGGATTTTGGATCGCTGAAAATGAATCTGTACTCTGTTTTTACCCATCAGCTCTTGTTTTTCAAATAATTTTGGTTTTTATTTTAATATTTTGTGATTTTTTATTTCTTAACCAAAAAATGATATCGGGGTTTGTAATACATTTTACTCAGAAAATATCCCACAATACTGGAATTATTTTTGATAACAAAAAAAATTATACAAACCATAAAGCAAAAACTATAATAATATCGTCAGAAAACGGAAAAAAACGGTAAAATTTAGAATAAAAAAGTCAATGTGCTCAGTAAAAAAAAAAATCGAAAAAAATATTGCGGCCCATGAATCTGTAGCTTAACTATTCTAGATTAAAGATTTCTTGTGGATCCAATTAATGATCATGTGTTAGAAAGTTATTGAATTTAAATGTAAGGTACATGCCATTGTGCACGGATCTTTCTACGTCAACTGGGCCGCTTCTATCGTCGAAAATAATTAAGAGTAAAATTAATAGACCAGCTCATAAAATTAAAATAAAAATAAATACTTTTGAAGGTTATGTGTCCTACTTCAAAATTCAAAATGGCAGATCCAATATGGCGGATGCAAAAACTAATATGTAGTCAAATATTCGTAAAAAGTGGTTATATGAGATAGCTGATGTCACTAAATTGAAATATATGAGATAAAAAAAATATAAAAATATAAAATATGAAAATATAAAAAATATAAAAAATATAAAAAATATACTTTCTAAATCCGAACCAGTGAAAAGTCACTGATATCAGCGCGAAGTATGCCACTAATTCGTTCAGTAGCATACTTCGCACTGATATCAGTGACTTTTTACTGATTCGGATTTAGAGAGTATATTTTTTTATATTTTTTATATTTTTATATTAATATATATATATTTATATATTTTATATTTTTATATTTTTTTTATCTCATATATTTCAATTTAGTGACATCAGCTATCTCATATAACCACTTTTTACGAATATTTGACTACATATTAGTTTTTGCATCCGCCATATTGGATCTGCCATTTTGAATTTTGAAGTAGGACACATAACCTTCAAAAGTATTTATTTTTATTTTAATTTTATGAGCT